AATGTGTCCCAGAGGTTCTGGCACGTTGTGTCTTCGTTCTCATTGGTTTCGAAGAACTTCTTTCTTTCTGCCTTCATTTCGTTGTTTACCCAGTCAACATTCAAGAGCCAGTTGTTCAGTTTCCATGAAGCTGTGCGGTTCTGGGTCTGTTTCTGAATTCTGAGTTCTAACTTGATTGCACTATGGTCTGAGAGGCTGTTTGTTATGATTTCAGTTGTTTTGCATTTGTTGAGCAGTGCTTTACTTCCAATTATGTGGTCAATTTTAGAGTAGGTGTGATGTGGTGCTGAGAAGAATGTGTATTCTGTGGATTTGGGGTGGAGAGTTCTGTAAATGTCCACCAGGTTTGCTTGCTCCAGGTCTGAGTTCAAGCCCTGGGTATCCTTGTTGATTTTCTGTCTGGTTGATCTGTCTAGTATTGACAGTGGAGTGTTAAAGTCTCCCAATATTATTGTTTGGGAGTCTAAGTCCTTTTGTAAGTCATTAAGAACTTGCCTTATGTATCTGGGTGCTCCTGTGTTGGGTCCATATATGTTTAGGATCGTTAGCTCTTCTTGTTGTATCGATCCTTTTACCATTATGTAATGGCCTTCTTTGTCTCTTTTGATCTTTGTTGCTTTAAAGTCTATTTTATCAGAGATGAGAATTGCAACTCCTGCTTTTTTTTTGCTTTCCATTGGCTTGGTAAATCTTTCTCCATTTCTTTATTTTGAGCCTTTGTGTATCCTTGCATGTGAGATGGGTTTCCTGGATACAGCACACTGATGGGTTTTGGCTTTTTATCCAATTTGCCAGTCTGTGTCTTTTGATTGGTGCATTTAGTCCATTTACATTTAGGGTTAATATTGTTATGTGTGAATTTGATACTGCCATTTTGATGCTATGTGGCTGTTTTGCCTGTTAGTTGTTGTAGATTCTTCATTATGTTGAAGCTCTTTAGCATTCAGTGTGATTTTGGAATGGCTGGTACTGATAGATCCTTTCTATGTGTAGTGCCTCTTTTAGGAGCTCTTGTAAAGCAGGCCTGGTGGTGACAAAATCTCTGAGTACTTGCCTGTTCGCAAAGGATTTTATTCTTCCTTCACTTCTGACGCTCAGTTTGGCTGGATATGAAATTCTGGGTTGAAAGTTCTTTTCTTTAAGAATGTTGAATATTGGCCCCCACTCTCTTCTGGCTTGTAGTGTTTCTGCCGAAAGATCTGCTGTGAGTCTGATGGGCTTCCCTTTGTGGGTGACCCGACCTTTCTCTCTGGCTGCCCTTAGTATTCTCTCCTTTATTTCAACCCTGTTGAATCTGACGATTATGTGCCTTGGGGTTGCTCTTCTTGCGGAATATCTTTGTGGTGTTCTCTGTATTTCCTGCAATTGAGTGTTGGCTTGTCTTGCTAGGTGGGGCAAATTTTCATGGATGATGTCCCGAAGAGTATTTTCCAGCTTGGATTCATTCTCTTCGTCCCCTTCTGGTACACCTATCAAACGTAGGTTAGGTCTTTTCACATAGTCCCACATTTCTTGGAGACTTTGTTCATTCCTTTTTGTGCTTTTTTCTCTGATCTTGGTTTCCCGTTTTATTTCATTGAGTTGGTCTTCGACTTCAGATATTCTTTCTTCTGCTTGGTCAATTTGGCTATTGAAACTTGTGTTTGCTTCGCGAAGTTCTCGTAGTGTTTTTCAGCTCCTTTAATTTATATTCCTCTCTAAGGTATCCATTCTTGTTATCATTTCCTCAAATCTTTTTTCAAATCTTTTTTCAAGGTTCTTAGTTTCTTTGCATTGATTTAATACATGATCTTTTAGCTCACAAAAGTTTCTCATTATCCATCTTCTGAAGTCTAATTCCGTCATTTCGTCACAGTCATTCTCCGTCCAGCTTTGCTCCCTTGCTGGTGAGGAGTTTTGGTCCTTTCTAGGAGGCGAGGTGTTCTGGTTTCGGGTGTTTTCCTCCTTTTTGCGCTGGTTTCTTCCCATCTTTGTGGATTTGTCCGCTGGTCGTCTGCGTAGTTGCTGACTTTTCGTTTGGGTCTCTGAGTAGACACCCAGAATGTTGATGATGAAGTATTTCTGTTGCTTGGTTTTCCTTCTACCAGTCTAGCCCCTTCGCTGTACGACTGCTGAGGTCCGCTCCAGACCCTGCTTGTATGGGGTGCACCTCTAGTAGCTGTGGCACAGTGAGGGATGCTACCAGTTTCTTTTTCTGCTCTCTTTGTCCCAGGATGATGCCTGCCTAATGTCAGTCTTTTGGATATAGAGGGGTCAGGGAGCTGCTTGAGGAGACAGTTTGTACTTTATAGGGGTTTAATTGCTGAGCTGTGCACTCTGTTGTTTATTCAGTGATGTTAGGCTGCTATGTTTGATTCTGCTGCTACAGAGCTCATTAAAAAACCCTTTTTTTTTTTTTTTTCTCCAATGCTCTGTGTTGAGGGGTTTGGGCTTTATTTTTGGATGTCCGATCAGGTGTCCTGCCCAGCTAGAAGGCAGACTAGCCACTGTTTGGCTGCCGAGGCTCCGCCCTGCTGTTGTGTGATTCGCGCTGTTCCTGCCGGCTCTGCTGTGGTCTCCGCCACACCCTGCGGCGGAGTCTCTTCGTTGTAGCGTGTTGCCTCAGCAACAGCAGGCTGCGTCAGCAGTGGGCGTGTATCTCAGTAGGGACGGGTTGCCTCGGCAACGGCTGGCTGCGTCAGCAATGGGCGTGTATCTCAGTTGGGGTGGGTTGCCTCGGCAACGGCTGGCTGTGTCAGCAGTGGGCGTGTATCTCAGTTGGGGTGGGTTGCCTCGGTAGTGGTGGACGCCCCTCCCCCACAGAGCGTCTCGGATCGTCTGCTCGGGATAGTTTGAAATCACGGTTTTGTTCGTCCCACTGGGTATCCCAATCCCTGCAATCCCCTGGGCTGGCCTACTGTCCAAGTCTCGTTCAGTCTCAAGTCCAGCCCTCTCAAGTCTCAGGTTGCCAGTTCAACAGGGCACCTGGACAAGCGTGCCCTGTAGGGATTGCTGGGTAGGGCCGGCCGCCGCCGCCCCGGCTGCCGGCTTCGCCAGGCAGACCTACTGCCTGGCGTCCCGTGTCTTTTTTATACTTGGGAGTTTCCCCGTTCTGTGGGCAACAAAGATCAGTCTGGAAATGCCGCTCTGACTCACCGTTTGCGGATTCAACGAGAAGAGCTCCAATCCTGGGTTATTCTCACAGCGCCATCTTGAGTCCTCCTCTGTGTTTTGAGTTATATTTTTTTAAACATTTTACTCTTTCTATTCTCTAACAGTAACCTTATTGATAAAATAGTGGTACTGCGGCCTCTAACTACTAACTGACACAACACATTAGAAGAATCTTACTTGATATAAATCTTCTATTTGTTCTCAGCTTAGAAGAGTCATAATAGATCATTTAAGCAAGATGTTTTTATTTTCTCTTTACTTTGAGTTTTTGGTAATTCAACTAATTACCAGAGTGCATTTATGATCTATCTGACTATGATTGTCATTCACTAGAAGAGCTTCTTTTTTCCCCAAGAATACTATTGTTTTCCATATTTTGCACAAGAAAGTCATGTTTTAATACATGAGCTTTGAAGTGAGTCCTCATACATACTAATATTCTATACCTAAATTTTCTTATTTATTCTTTTAAAATATATTGTTTTCTATTTCCTACCATCATATAACATCATATAACCTCAGTATTTTAAATATCATAAGAAAATGTTATCTTTACAATTTGTAAAATTGATTTATCTCTAATAATTATTACTTCTAGTTTTCTTTGTTATGCTTGCTAAAAGACTGACATTGTGACTTCAGATTCAAAAAGGTTAAGCATATCTCAAAATGGATCGTATATCTAACACTAACATAATCTTGTTATTAGAGCTTACCTGGTAAATCCTAGATTATATAATTAAGTAGATCCTGTACAGCCTCGCTTGACACCGAGTCTCCCAACATGGGGACACTCAGCAGTTTAGATGAGAAACCCAGCTTTTGAACATCCTGGGAGAGTCTGAGGTTCTGTAACTGTTGCTTCCCATGAGGAATATAATGTAATTGAAATTGAACACATAGATGACAAAGAATTGATACAAAAAGCTAATGATATATTTACTATATAACCACAACTGGAAATTTATTTTTAAAGTTACTTTTAATCTATATGATTTGAACATTAAAATTTATTTTTTTCAGAAACAGAAATTCATCTATTTACTTTTTAAACTTTCAGGTCAATGATTTTTTTATTGAGGTATGATTGACAAACATCACACATATTTTTATATACATATACATTGCGTAACAGTATCACTAATCAAACGAATCAAATTATCCACCACCTCACATTTATACTTTTTCTGTTTTCTTTCTGTTGGCAACACGATCTACTCTCTTAGCAAATTTCAAGAATATAATACATTATTATTAATAGACTATGAATATTAAAATTTAATACTATTGTAGAAAAGGTATAAAGTCATAACATGAAAAAAAGAACATGATTATCTTTATGATGGTCTTTTTATTTTAATTTTCTAACCTCTTGATATATTATTGCCTTTTAAATTTTTCTTAATTGACATATAATAATTATATATATTTATGGAGTAGAGTGATGCTTTGATACATGTAAACAATGTATAATGATCAAATTAGGGTATAGTGTATCACCTCAAATATTTATCATTTTTTTGTATTGGAAACATTCAAATTCTTCTCTTTTAGCTATTTAAAAATATAGAGTAAATTATTTTTAACTATAATCACCTCACAGTGCTACAGTGTGCACTAGAATTTATTTTTTTATGTATCTGAAATTTTGTATTTCTTAACCAGCCTCTCCTGATGGCCCCACCTCACCTTTCCCAGCCTCTAGTTACCACTATTTTATTCTTTAGTTTTATGAGATAAACTTTTTTAGCTTCCACATATTAGTGAAAACCTGTGGTATTTATCTTTCCCGGCCTGGCTTATTTTACAATGATTCTTTAAAAAGTACCTTTTCTACATACCTATAGGCTCTCTTTCGGACAGTAGCAATGATGGTGCCTGACTATGCTATGATTGCTGAAATAGTCCTGTACTCCTGTGGGTTTGTTACTGCTCGGCCGCTGTCAGTAAAAATTGTGGCTATGTATCGCTTGTGTTCAGAGCAGTTGTCATCTCAACATCACTACGACTATGGAATGAGAGCCGTGAAGTCAGTGCTTACTGCTGCTGGGAATCTGAAGGTAGAGAACACAAGTATTTCTTACTTGTCATTTTCTATTTGTAAATTTCCAGCCTAATGGGTCTTCACAGAGTTCCAATAACTTGTTGGTTTCATTAATTGATTGAAAAAATCAATTTTTACACCAAAAATGTATTATTTTATACAGATGAAAAATGAAATTTTATAATGATTTGTAAAATCTTACATATATAATTCTTAGTGATTTGAATTTTGTTTCATTAACAGGATAGGCATGAGCCACCATGCCCAGTGGAGTTTTCTTAAGCACAATTTATTAAACTAACTTAGTGTGTGACAAGCCCTCTCCACTCTCTCTGTGAAACTTGCTAACACGTGGCATTCTGGGTCCGCAGCCAGCAGCATCCCCTGCTCTGCCCTTCCACTTCAGCTTCTGTCAGATGAGCTGCATTCCTTACTCAGAGCTGGTTTGCTTGTTCTTGAACCTTTTTGAAGCCACTTGGACATGTTACTGTTATTATGTTATCTTATGGCATGGTGGGGAAACTGATGATATAAGCATAAAAAGAGGATTTTTTTTCTGTGAAAACTAAATTCATGTTTAAGAAAGATTGAGGGCCAGCGGGAGGGGGAGGCGGGGAGGGATAGCCTGGGGAGAAATGCCAAATGTGGGTGAAGGGGAGAAAGGAAGCAAAACACACTGCCATGTGTGTACCTATGCAACTGTCTTGCATGTTCTGCACATGTACCCCCAAACCTAAAATGCAATAAAAAATTTAAAAAAAATTGAATATAGATGAAATGCTAAAATTTTGACTTTGACTAAGATGTGGATGAGAAATGTGTGTAAAACTGAAAAAAAAATTAAAAATTTATCAGGATGATATACTTAGGTTGTATTACAATTATTTTTGAAGAGCATTAGCCCCTTTAAAAAACAAAAACAGAGCGCAACAAGATAGAATAGATGATGTGTTGTTGATGAGGCTTTTGGAAAAAAAAAAGGTGCATAACTCTACACTCAGAGAAAAGGCTTGGCATCAGAATATGGGCAAATGAGTGAATGTTTATATGTTTTAAATTTTAATGCATCTTTCCAAAATGATTGCCCACTGTTAGTAATTTTCATTTGACCAATCTACTGCTAGTTGTGAATACATATAGAGAATAAGCCAGCTCTACCCAATACAAGGGATAGCAGCTGCCAAACTGTATTTAATTCATGTTAATACCTCTTTAGCATAGCTGTGAAAGGAAAGTAGTTAAAATATGTTTTTATTATAAACTGGTAAAAAAACCCAACAAGTTGAAATGTCAGTTTCTAAAATTAATAATCCAATATAATGAAAGAAGAGTAACATTTTTGCATTTGTTTAAATTGTGTACAGTGTCTGTATGTATGTGTGTGAACACAAAGGGGGTGGGTGCTGTTAGCAGATGCAGATATCATCATGAGTGTGTGTTTTTTTTAGCTGAAATATCCAAATGAAAATGAAGAAATTTTGCTGCTTAGATCTATCATTGATGTAAATCTGCCAAAATTTTTATCCCACGATTTACCACTCTTTGAGGTAAGAACATTCATTATCCCAGTGTATCATAACTCTCATAATAATGAATTTATTAAATATCTAAGGTTGTGAAGCTCCCACTCTGGAAAACAACAACACAGTACAGAGAAACATGGATAATTCCATATTTTATTTGAAGTATGGTTAGCTAGTTTTGTCACTTTGATAATTTTCAACAACTTGGGATTTTTAAAATAGTACTTTAAAGTTTGTTACTGCAGAATATAATGAGCACACAAAAGTTACAAGATATTTGCTTATAAATTCCACTAGAATGTAGGCTCCATGAAGAAAAATAATTGGCCTAACTCACCACTGAATCCCTAGCACAATATAGATATAGTAAATGTCTGTTCAACATAGTAACTCTTTGTTCAACTAATAACTGAAGAAATAAAATAGATAAATATGTTAATTTCCTTAAAAGAATGAGATGACTTTTATGAAATTTTCATGATAACCTAAGAACTAAGCTTTATCTTGTTATAATTTAAGATAAGGTTATGATTAATTGAGAGGAATTATTAGAACAATGGTTAAAGTTTTCATAAGATTGTTCGGTGTCCTTCTTTTCCTCTTCCCCATACTAGGTAGAAGTCAGAAGGGTAGTGAGCTCCTTCTAAATGTTAGATGTTGGACTAATTTGCACTGTCTTGGAATTCAGGCAGTTCGCTTGCAGTATGCTACCTATTTCCAGATTCAGGGGTCTAGTTTCATTCTTCTGCATACAGTTATCTAGTTATCTAGTTTTCGCAGCACTGAAGATACGGTTATGTCATGGGGAAGGGGAGAGGAGATGCTGCTGCTAGTATTGTCCAGTGTCATTGGCTACTGATGGCAACCATGTCTCATCATTCTGAAAAGAGCTATACTTAGTATTTAGAGTTAAGCTTTGATTAGTGTTTAGAGTTAACATGCAGATATATTACAGAGCAAATCAACAAGGAAAGAGTTCAAATTTTCTCCCTAAAGTTTTCCCTCTATTTGTTCAGTTCTAGGGCACTAAACAGATTTTCTAGGAGTAAAAGATATGTTTATTTTCAGAATATGGAAATACACTTTGCTGGATGTGTTGTCATGCAGTCATATATTAATTCAGAGAACATGTATTAAGCAGTGTTTCTCAACTGGAGCATAAATTAGCATTTCTAGTTGGGACCATTTCTCTTTTTTTTGCAAGGATTCCCCATTCATGCAGGGCATTTGGAATCCCTTCTACTTTCCCGATGGCCTGTGCAGATATCTAAAGACGTCTTTCATAGTGACAAGCAGAAGAATGCCTTTACATATTTTAAACTCTCTACCTGGTGGGAGAGTGAGGGAGTGAGGGGTCCTGGTCTTGCGTGAGAGCCCTGGTATGGCAAATATGTTCTGGGGTTGTCTGCTTCTTTCAGGGTTGTATATAAACAATTTAAACAATCTGAAAGGAGATTTTGGTTAATTAACAAATGCTATGTCATAATATGGACCAGATACCATTCTGGGTGCTTTACAAATTGTGATTTATTTAATGTTCCAAATGACCCAGTGGGGTAGGTGCTATCGTTATTCCTGTTTTATAGATGATGTAGCTAAGGCACAAAGATGATAAGTCAATTATATTTATGGCAAGTACACAAGGGAGCTGGGATTCTAACCCAGAGAGCTGTTAGCCAGTCTGCTGCATTGCCTTTTGTCTCCTTTGCCCCAAGGAAACTTATTGCTTTGATAAACTGAGATAAATTTCTTCATAAGAGCATTTAAAGAATTAAATGTAGGGGTAATTAAACTGGTAACTCATAAATTCTAAAGTACGACTTGAGTATACGCTTTCACATTAAGCACTTCTAAAATTTCACTTTTACCTTCAGACTAAAAAGAATAGTCATTTCTAATATAAGTTGCAATAATATTTATAAAGTAACCTTAACAATTTATAAAGATAAGCTCCTTAGACCTTGCAATTAGCTTTATATATTCATATATACTAAATACAAAGTTATAATCCTTTCCAAGTATACATTGTATGATTGTACTAGTGTCCTAAGTTTACCATTAAAAGTATCACAAACTTAAGGCATAAGACAGCTTATTTATTCTCTCGCAGTTCTGGAAGCTAGAAGTCCAAAATCAAAGTGTGAGGATGCCATGCTCCCTCTGAAGGCTCTAGCGGAGAATCCTTCCTTGCTCCTTCCTAGCTTCTGGTGGCTCCCTGAAATCCTGGATGTTGGTTGGCTTGTACCTGCTTCACTGCACTCTCCACCTCTATCATCATATGGCTATCTTTCCTCTGTTTCTCTGTGTCTCTATCTGAATCTCCCTTTCCTTTTGCTTAAACAGATGCCAGGTACTGGGTTTAGAGTCCACCCTAATCCAGAATGACATCATCTTAACTAATTACAATTGATTGCAAAGACCCTATTTTCATATGAGGTCACATTCAGTGGTTCTGGGCGGACAAGAAATTTTGGGGGACAGTGTTCAACTCACTAAAATATATTCACTAAACTACTTTTGAACTAATTTTTATATATGCTTGGGGTGTGGATTAAAGTTAATGATTTTGTCATGTCTAGTTACTCTAGTATCATTTGCTGAAAAGACACTTTGCCACCAGAAATTGCCTTTGCGTCTTTATTGAGAATCAGTTGTTTACACATGTATGGGTCTATTTCTGGACTCCCTATTCTGTTCCTTTGATATATTTGTTATCTTTATGTCCACACAACACTGTGTTTAAAAATAAGCCTTGAAACCAGATAATATTAGGTTTCAAACTATTTTATTTTTCTACTTGTATGTTTTTACTGATTTGTAATAGATATACGTATTGTGGGGATACATGTGATAATTTAATACATTCATATAATTTGTAAAGATCAAATCAATATACTTGGACTGTCCATCACCTTAAATACTACTCTTTTCATTATGCTAGAAACATTCAAATTATTCTCTTCTAGTTATTTTGAAAGGCACAATAGATTATTATTGTAAACTGTGGTCACATTACTGATCTGTTGAACACTGGATCTTATTTCTTCTATACTGCTGCATATTTGTATCCATTCATCAACTTCTGTATTTCCTACCTTCTCCCTACTTTTCTTGCCTTTGGTAACCACCAGTCTACTCTGTCATCATGAGATCTACTTTGTTAGCATCCACATATGAGTGAGAACATGTGACATATTTCTTTCTGTGCTTGACTTACTTCACTTAACACAGTGACCTACGATTCTGTTCATGTTGCTACAAATACAAAATTTCATTCTTTTTATGGCTTAATAATATTCCATTGTGTATATATGCCACATATTGATTAGTGTTTAAGTTGATTATATATTTTGGCTATTGTGAATACAGCTACAGTAAACATGGGAGTGCAGATATCTCTTTGATACATTGATTTCCTTTTGTTGTATATATACCCAGTTGTGGAATTGCTGGATCATATGGAAATTCTATTTTTAGTATATTAAGGAACCTCCATACTGTTTTCCATAGTGGTTATATTAATTTACATGCCTACCACAGTGTACAAGAGTTCCCCTTTCTCCACACTCTCACTAGCATTTATTACCTATCTTTTTATAAAAGCCATTTTAACTGGGGTGAGGTGATATCTCCTTGTGGCTTTGATTTGATTTTGTGTGTAGTGAGATATAGGGGTCTAGTTTTACTCTTCTCCATGTAGTTGTCCAGTTTTCTCAGCACCATTTATTGAAGTGACTATGTTTTTTCCATTGTGTTTTCTTGATGTCGTTGTCAAAGATAAATTGGCTGTAAATGCATGAATTTGTATCTGGATTCTCTATTCTGTTCCATTGGTCTATGTGTCTGTTTTTATGTCAGTATTGTGCTCATTTGGTTGCAATAGCTTTGTAGTAAATTTTGATGTCTGGTAGTACAATGCCATCAGCTTTGTTCTTTTTGCTCAGGATTGCTTTGGCTAATGGGGTTTTTGTGTGTGTGGTTCCATATATATTTTAGAATTTTTTCTATTTCTATGAAAAATGTCCCTGGTATTTTTATGGGGATTGCACTGAATCTATGAATTACTTTGAGTAAATTGTCATTTTAACAGTATTAATTTTTCCAGGGCAGGCGCGGTGGCTCACACCTGTAATCCCAGCAATTTGGGAGGCTAGGGTGGCTGGGTCACCTGAGGTCAGGAGTTCTAGACCAGCCTGGCCAACATGGCAAAACCCTGTCTCTCCTAAAAATACAAAATTTAGCCAGGTGTAGTGATGTGAATGCTTGTAGTCCCAGCTACTCAGTGGCTGAGGCAGGAGAAGCGCTTGAACCAGGGAGGCGGAGGTTGCAATGAGCCAGATCGCACCACTGCACTCCTCCCTGGGTGACAGAGCAACACTCCATCTTGAAAACAAAATCCAAAAAATAAAAACAATAGCACCAGTATTCTTCCAGTCTATAAGCATGAAATATCTTTGCAATTTTTGTGTGTCCTCTTCAGTTTCTTTCATCAGTCTTATGTAGTTTTCCTTGTATAGATGTTTGACTTCAGTTAAATTGATTCATCAATATTTTATATTCCTTGTAGCTATTGTAGATGGGATTGCTTTCTTAATTTCTTCTATTCAGATTGTTTGCTGGTGGCATATATAAATGCTATAGATTTTTGTATGTTGATTTTGTATCCTGAAACTTTACAGAACTCATTTATCAGTTCTAATAGTTTTTCAGTGGAATCTTTAGGTTTTTCTAAATCTAAGATGTCATCTGTGAATAATGCTAATTTGACTTCTACCTTTCCAATTTGGATGCCTTTTCTTTCTTTTTTTTTCTTGGTCCAAATTCATTTATTAAGTTATGTATATATGTTTTTTACTGTACTTTACGTTCTGGGGTACATGTACAGATCATGCAGGATTGTTGCATAGGTACATACATGGCAGGTGGTTTGCTGCCTCCATCCCCATCAACTATATCTGCATTTCTCCCCATGATATCCCTCCCCAACCTCCCCACTCCCCACAGTCCCTCCCATAGCCCCCACC